TTAAATGAAGTTTGGAAGCAGAAACAATTTGTGTCTGGCAATCAAAGTCAGACTGGTGGCTATAGGGGTGGAAGTGGGGTATTGAAGATGAGAGGATCTTCTGGGGCGTAAACATATTCTGTATCTACATACATAAAAATTCAAGCTGTACCCTTAAGACTTGTGAGTTTATTATATGCACATTATACTTCAATATTTTAAAATATTAACAAAGATAAGTAAAAATCAGCAGGTATACAAGCTTGTCAAAAAGTTCAGACAACAAAGTTGGTTTTGGCTCGGCTCCTGTAGCTCAGTGAGTAGGGTGCCAGCCACATACACCAAAGCTGGCGGGTTAGAGCCCGACGCGAGGCCTGCTAAACAACAAGGACAAAGGCAACCAAAAAATAGCTGGGCATTGTGGTGGGCACCTGTAGGCAAGAAAATTGCTTAAGCCCAAGAGTTGGAGGTTGCTGTGAGTTGTGATGCCACGGCACTCTACCAAGGGCAACAAAGTGAGACTCTGTCTCAAAAAAAAAAAAAAAGTTGTTTTATTTTAACTATAAAACAAAATTTTCTAAAATGAAAAATCATTAAAAATATAATAAACATCAAATGAATTTGAACATAGTCAACAAAATGTTAAAAATATGTTTCTATTTTTAAACTTAAAACTTCAGGGATGAATTAGACAGCAATTTTTTAAAAAGCCTCAAAAAAAAATTAGTAAGCTAAAAGATACATATGAAGTAATTGTCCAAAAATTACTACAAAGATACTACAGGATAAAAATATAAAATGAAGAATAGCATTAAACAAGAATAGCACACCAAGATATGTCTAATAGAGTGAGAAACTAGAAAAGAGAAAAGGTGACACAGAGAGACAGCAGCTAAGAATTATCCAGAATTCACAAGAATCACAGATTCTCAAGCTGATTATGGACTGAAATTCCAAAGAGTATAAAAATAAATAAGTGTAGGGCGGCACCTGTGGCTCATGGAGTAGGGTGCCGGCCCCATATGCTGGAGGTGGTGGGTTCAAACCCAGCCCCCACCAAAAAACAAAAAAACCCCTGCAAAATAATATTAATAATTAATAAATAAGTGTAGACAACATAAATACGTAATAGTAAGCAGTAAATGGTAACAAGAAATAAACATTTAAAAGTAATAAAAGAGGCAAGTAGAAAAGAAATAAGATAAAAGATTAATACCCAACTATACCCATAAATAATCACATTATATGTGGATGGTCTAAATATCTCATTTAGAAGTCAGAGATTATCCGATTATATTTAAAAATATGATACAGTTATACATTGCATATAAAAACCATACTTTGAATATAAAGATACAAAGAAGCTAAAAAAATAGCGAGATGGTAAAAGATAGACCATGCTTTGGTAAAAGATACCTCATCCTGTAATCAAAAGAAAGCTGGAAAGAGTATACCAATATTAGGCAAAGTCGACTTGACATCAAGGAATATCATAAGATAAAGGGCTCGATTTACAACAGGACGTAGCAATCATAAATGTTTATACATCTAATAAGAGAGTTTCAAATACACAAAGGAAAATCTGATAAAATTGCAAAGACAAGATACACGCATCTCTCTAGAGGGCCCCCCAATACGGCAGGACCCAAGAGGACCTCAAATCACCATACCCACAATCTCTTGCTTTCTCCACTGTATAATCCCCCTTTGACAAAAGCCATCTATGCTCCAGAAAACTGGGGAGTGCTGTGACTGTCAGTGCAGCCGCTGTATCTGCTCCATCCCTCCTCCAGATCTCTAGGTTTCCTAGATTGGAGCCAGACCCCAACCTAACACCCTGTTCAAGGTTCAGGTACCAATCTGTGTCTCCCAAACACAAGGTACATATTTCAGAGGTCCCCAGGAGGGTTCCCTGGAGGTTCCTCTCACTAAGTATTTAGTCAGAAAACAGCACAACCCACCACACTCACCTCAAAGCATTGCAATGGCCCTGTCCAAAGAAATGACTTCACTAACCTCTTAAAATCTTCTCTCCCTTTCTATTCCTCTGATCTTTCTGAGTGGTCCATGAGCCAAAAAATAGATCCCACTTTATTTCATTTGTAGAATCTTTATAAGGGAGAAAGATTGTCTCACACAGGCTCATCTGTTAGAGCCTTATTCAAAAGTGAGGCAGACACGACGGGAAAGAAGGGCCAGGGCTGGGAAGGATGGCAGAGCCCTTGAAACTCATACTTTCCTGCAGGCTTATAAACCCGCACAACCTCCGAAAAACTGCCTACTAGGATCCCCCATATGAGACACGCATATCCCGTGAAGGAGCAATTCCACTTCTGGGTTTACACCTAAGAGAAATACACCTTTACAAAAAAAATGTTTGTAGACACACACAGAAAAATTTATTTTGTATAATTCCATTTATATAAAAATTTTAAATGGGGAAAAAAAAACCCAAATTGTTGCAGGTTATTTGGGAGGCTTAGCAGATATTGAGTTTTTTTTTTTTTTTTTTTTGGTCAACTACCAGACCTAGTGACAATTCAGATCAATAAAAGTCACTCTAGACATATTGCTATTTTTAAAAAGACATAAAAATCAAATACTGTTGTCTGAATATAGCCATGCCTTTGACATATTATCTTATACATGTAAATTTGTTTTCTTAAATTGATATCATTTTGTTTTTATTACTAAAGAACGGGTTACCTTCAGGAAAAATTAAGCTTCATATTATGAATTATGGTTCAAACCACACAATTATCACCATGAGCCACAAGAGGGCAGCAATTTCAAGGACTGGAATTATGAATAAGCACTGAAGAAAACCGTATTAAAAAAAAGAGTAAATTATTGAGATTGTGAACCCGAGATTTTTAATAACAAAAAACAACTTTAATTTGTGGGTTCTAATTTAGAATTTTAGAATTAGAAAGGCCTGAGAGATGTCTCTTCTACCTAAGAAATTTCATTGGCACCATTTTTGTTTTCCTCCGTACAAATCAGGTTTTATGTGTTTTTGTTTATATGTTTCACTTTATATAGGAACTTTGCATAAAATCACTTAAATAGAACAGTAATCCACATATGTACAGGTCTTTGCATTTTAAGTACTTTCAAAATGCAATATTTTATATGTTTTTATTTTATTATGCCTTCTGAAGTAGATGTGCCATGAATTATTAAGTCCTTTTTTATAGGTAAAAAATTGAGGCTTAGGAGAAGTGAGGAATTTTCCCCAGTTAATAAATCCAATAAGTAGAAAAAGCAGAACCTCGTTTGAGATATTTTCTCTTATTTGCCCAGGTACCTCTTAACCAAAAATAACAATGGTATCCTTTACTTTGTTTATACATAAACTTGGAATAGCTTTAATTCCGTTCTGCTCTGATAGAACTGGTCAATATGACCTTTCACAAACACCTGGCTGACAGTGCTCTCTTTTGAACTACCAATGCTTGGGAATAACCTTTGTTACCACCTGACAGAGAAAAGGAAGGTAGAAGTGAAGTTTAAAGTAAAACAAAGAGTATTTCCAGAGATCAGCAATCAGGAGAAAAAGAGAAACAGACATACAAATCTAGGAAAAAGGCTTAACAGTTACCTCAAACACTACCACGGAAATTGTAACTATTCCTAAAGCCACCCAATTTTGTGTATTACCAGAGAGATTAATTTGTTAATATTGTTTGCTAGACCTAGTGTTTAATTAAATCTTTGATGAATAGTGTATTGTCTTACAGCTATTAAAATAAACCAAATAACTAACACCTAAAAAAGGAATTCAATTAGAAAGAAAACTGTGACTTCAGTAATAGGACACACACCACACACACAAACAAAGACATCTAAGAAAATTGCTTAAAGTTAATATGATGAATAATCAGAGAGAAGTCAAAGACTTACTTTCCTGGGTAAAAGTACCCCACTCGGCTGCAAAAAATAGTTAAGGCTATTTTTAATTTTCAAAATTCTTCTGTGTCTTCAAAGAGTCTAATTTTTCTACTCTCGGATATCTAATGTAATAAATAACTCTGCTGTTCCATTTATTTCCAGCTTAACAGATACTGCTGGCAAGGCAGAAAGTTAGTTACATTACTCCATCCTGGATTTCTTCCTTTCATTCATTCATTCATTCATTCATTCATTTTATTATCAACATTTGTTGTCCATGTGACGTAAGCACAGAGAAAGAGAGCTCATCAAAATATAAATGGACTATTCCCTCATGGAACTTACAATACAGTGGAAGAAATAAATATTAAACAAAAGATGTAGTATTACAAACGCTAGTGTTATAAATGGAAAGTATTAAATGCAGGGCGAAGCATGAGATGACAATAGAATATCCAAGCTATATCGCTAGTTGCAAAAACCTTGAACTAGGGAAGCAGAGACCAGAAGGTAGGTAATGTGGAAATGGCTTCAAGAAAGGGAATAATGTCTCTATTGCCCTGAACAAAGAGTGCTTGGCTTATTCAAGTAACTGAAGCTTTTAATTTATCAATGACTAGCACACAAACTATAGGAGACATGAGGAATAAAAGTCAATATATAGAGAATACACATTTATATATCATTATTGATGAAGGGGAATTTAAAAGGTATTTCCAAGCCTCTCCTATAAAGAGCAAAATCAGACTGGATGCTGGATTGAGGGATTAAAGAATAGCTCAACTCTAAGTTCGTAAATTCCCAAGACCATCAGAAAACCAGATTAGACAGTACTTTTTTCTCACATGGATGAAAATCAAATTAGTAATATACTAAACTGAATAATTCACAGAGCAGTGTGCACATTTTATTTATTAATTGTTAATATAAAATCACTTCTAATCTTATTTCAACCTTAATTTTTGCACCAAATGTGAGATACTATTCCTCTTTCTAAATTCTCTAGTCCAGATTCCCAAGACACCTCCAGAAAATACTAATGTCTTCCTTTTTACTTTAGTAAACCTTTTCTACCTACTAATGAAAAACTTAAAAATTAACGTTTTATGCAAAGCCTATGTCAAACGTACGTTCCAGTGCATTATAAAGAAGTTCAAAGTCTTCATTTGTTTTGGGATAATGTCTCCGGTAATAGTCTAATTTCATCCATTCTTCTTTTTCTCTTATCTTTCGTAGTTCTTCCTGAGCTTCCCACTCCAGTCTCAATTCTTTCTCTCTTCTTATACTCTCTACGAAGACCCTAGCATGCCATTGCCTGTAATAAGTCTGTAGCACTAATACCTATAGTTAAAGCAAAAGGAAATAGAAAGTGTCTATCATCAGCTTTTTGATCGAACAATGATAAAAGGCAATGATGATTATTTCAATTCCAATTTCACAAGAACACAGTACTGCCAATACAGTTTTAGCTCTATTTTAGATATTTTCACATACACTAACACACACACACACACACACACAAAAACATGGATAATATTTGTCACTGCTATGCAACTTTGAAATCTAGCAAATACACCTTCCTAGAAGGAGGTTAGTATTATACTATGCTTAAGAGCACAGACAGACTCTGGAGTAAAACTTAGTTTGAATCTTACCTCTGCTAGTCACTATATGTTTTATTTGAGATAAGTTACTTGTCATCTTTGTGCTTTAGTACTCTCATCTGTAAATCAATACACCTACAAAGTGCTTGGCCCAAGCCTGGTATATCCCATGTGCTCAATAAAAGCTACTATTATTATGAATATTAATTATCTCTATCTTTTCTCTTAATTTCCATTGGCTTAGGATCATCTTTTAAACTAAATTGTTTTTCCAAAACACACAGTAGGTAGGTACTTATGGAAACTACCAAAGGTAGGCTAAATAAATGGGAGACTTAAGCAAACCAGTATTTATTAGATAACATAAAATATAGATATGTTTCAAAGCACAGCATAATACTAGTCTCTCAAAAAGGTTGTGATATAGCTGAGAAAGTTTATAATTTTATTTGCTAAACTTATAAACAAAAGTAAAATGTGGAGAGGCTGGATCGAGAGTGAACATAGAGCATATGCTGGACATCCCTTTCCCTCATCAGTCAAGACACTGTGTCATATTGAAGGAGCCCCCCCCAAAGGACAAAAACTTTAAAAAATCCCTTCAAGAGGAGAGACAAGTAGAATAAATTGAAGTGAGTGTTTATAGTTTAATCATGTACTGGAGAGGAAGCTAAAAAATATGTCAGTGTCTCAAAGGTTGCTTCAAGTCCCCAAACTGGTACATGCTCTGAGCAGAATGACAACTAACCAGGTGACTGCTTAAAACATACTAAAAAAAAAAAAAAGCTTCTCTAAAACAATTTAAGTAAGAAAAAAACAGAGGTATTTGTCCAAAAAAACTAGCTCTGTCCCAGAACTAAGCTTTATATAACCCCTAAAACCCTAGTCAGACTGTGGTAAATAAATATGCTGTCAATATATTACAGAAGCAGAATCTCAAAAACATTTATCAGTACCTACCTAGGAATAACCAAAACATTTGAGAAGAACCAACAAAATAAAAGGTTTCTCACTCAACAATGAGAAGAATTCATACTTTTTTGAACAGTAACATCAGCAATATCTGCAAGATTAATAGCAATGTGAATTTTCAGGTCCACCCAGAGCTACTGAATTAGAAACCCTGGGTTGAAGTATAGCATTCTGAAGACTAACAAATTCTCCAGGGGATGCTAATGCTAAGGTTGTCACATTACCTTCCTAGATAAAATCAAAACAAACAAAAAACAAGAGCAGACTAGCTCTAGTTAACATTTTCAGAGAGAACTGAAAGGCTATAAATATAAAAGAAACAATATAATGAGCAAAGACTATGAAAATTTTTTCATTTTTTGAAAATAAAAAAATAGTAAAATACAAAGTCTGAAATTGCCACCATTGCTTACACTGGCAGCATTGTATATACATAATTCAGTAAGATTTCATAGCCCTGGCATATCAGTGTCTGTCATTTTTGCTAGTGTTGATGTGTGGCAGTATCTTGCTGAGTGCCATTCATTATTGTGTGTTTCTGTGTGCTGCCAGAGAATATCGGAGCTTGAATTAGAGCAACAAACAAACATTCGTACATTTCTTGTTAAATGTCAAGGGTAGAAGTAAAATCAGGGACATGTCAGTCTAAGTTAATGGGGATAATGCCAAAGGGATTAAATGGTTTTTCTGAGGAGAGAGAAAGCATCACTCATAAAAAGAAGTCAGGGTGGCCAGTAATGAGCAGAACTGATGAAAACATTACAAAAATTTGTCAGATGGTGCATCAAAATTACCAGCTAACTACAAAAAGCATAGAAGATCAAATAAACATTGACAGAGAAACAGGAAATCTTAAATAAAAATCCTGGCCAAAAACTCATGTCTCTTGCATCACAACAATACGTCAGCTCACACGGCACTATCTGTGTGGGAGTTTTTAGCCAGTAAACAAATAACTGTATTGGAACACCCTCCCTACTCACCTGATCTGGCCCCCATGACTTTTTTCTTTACCCAAAGATAAAGGAAATATTAAAAGGAAGACATTTTGATGACATTAAGGACACCATGGGTAAAACAACAGCATTGATGGCCATTCCAGAAAAAGTGTTCCAAAATTGCTTTGAAGAGTGGCCTAGGTGCTGACTGAGTCAGAACAAAGGAAATTTAGCTAGTTTACCTTTAAACCAGCCATTGCTAAATATCTTAACTGAGCAAGTTTCCTGCTTTTCCTAGAGCTCTGGCCTATTGGGGATATAGCTTACTAACACCCCTGTTGGGTCTGTAAACACTCTGAAGGAATAATGGCCACAGAAGATGCCGTGGCAAGGCCTGTCAGGATACATTAACTAGGCCGTTTCCTGCCAAGTTAACAGTCAAAGCAAATATCCATTGTGTAGATTAGTATTTGCCTGGAGCAGAGATCAAGGGAACAGCTCCAGCCCTGAAATATGGGCAAGAGGCTTTATATCCCCTTATTGCAGAGGAAGATCCTCTGTAGTGGTGATCAGAGGAAAATTCCTCTCTCCTACCAATTCTTCAGAGGAGATTGATGCCAGGGGCATTTTACTTCACAGTAAACTAATGGGATTAACACCCCAGCCTCCAAGAATCTGTGTATGTGACCTCGGATAGGAGGCTGCTCCTACACAAGGCTCAGGTTTCAGATTTCTCAAGGCTGCTCAGACCCTTAAAGTTAACAATTATAGAAACAACAGGAGCTGATATGCTCAGACAGAGAAATTGTTTGCATCTTTCTTCCCTTCCTCAGCTTACCTTCTGGGCTAATAAGCAAATAGCCTTCAATAAAAGCTGAGTGGAGCTGACACTTGGGGCCACTGTCAGAAACCAACATGCAGGCAGTGGTCCCCTGGGTTCCCACTTTTGAAAATTCTATTCTGTGTGTCTTGTCTCTTTTTTTCTCACCGTTTCTAATTTTATATTTCTTCAGTTGGTCACCACCAAATCCACAGGTCTTAATGGACCCTGCCCCTGGGGCAGGACCCCAGCAGGAAAAGAAAAGAATGGATATTGGTAGTGTATTATAAGTAGACCTTCAGAGTGTGCAGAACCTACAGAACCCAAAAAGGAATATATAAGAAAGGAACTGACCCTGAAAGTGCAAACAATGTAACCTAAAAATTATACCCTCATATTAAATAAAAAGTTTTAATAAACAAAAATAAAGAAATTTAGGTGAGAAAATCTTTTAGAATGCACGACAACAGGTCAAAGACATGAAAAATAAATCCAAACATTCCCAACTATATCTGATATAAGTTTCATCTAGAATGAAGAAAGTTAACTTAAAAATTAATCAAACCATAATAAAATCAGAATGGTAAACCAGACACAAGTAGTTTGCACCTTCTCCATGGAAAGCAACCAGAATAGTAAGCAGATAATCACACTTCAAACACATCATCTAGGAAAGAATGCTAAGATTTACCCTGGAAGTGATAGGAAGCAACACCAAAAGTAAATTTTAAAAAGGGTTCAATGTTTTATAGCTTGCCTGGTCAGGGACTGGCTGAGAGCTCAGAGAAGCTCGTGGACATGGGCAAACAGCAAGAGAGGAACCCCTAAGGCTCAATACTCCAAAAGGACATTAACAATCTTAGCTACCTGTAGAAGCCTGTATAGCCTGTGGCTAGGAGGAGTGAGAGTTGTAAGTAACACCTGTATATCTCCATAATGGAACACCTTGGTTAAAAGGGCACGGGCAGAGATTTAGCTCTCATTACAAGCATGAGAGAGCTCACGAGATGAGAGCATTAGTGAATTGGACGTCTCTACACCTGTGGTGTTGAGAGGCACAAGATCAGCCTTATATTAGGCTGGAGGAGAAGGCAGTCAGGAGCATGTGCATTCTATCACGGACCGCTCACTCCGACTCAGTCACTTCTCCTGCCTGCAGAATGCCAGTATGGCTTCTCTCTGCTGAAGATCACTAAGCTCTGCTAAAGACTAAGATCTATTCTAAAACTACTTCACCCTCAAAGACTACCAATCTCTCTCTCTCTCTCCCTTCTACTAAAGTAAATAGTCCTCAGGCACCTAAGAGCAATTGTTCCTGAGCGAGATAACAAACAGCATAGTGGTCCTCATCAGTAACACAGCTAGATAGGCTGGGGCCAGAGACCAACCAGTCCCGGGCCCTGTTAAGGGGTGTCCATGAAGGGACCCTGACGAGATAACCTCTTGACCCATGCAGGTTGTGGGCCTAACAAAAGCAGCTGCCCAGAGATTTCACAGAGAAATTACTCCAGATAAGAAACCCACATAGAATCATGCGGGCATCTGAAGCTAGAATAGCTTTAGCTGGATGCCAGTCTAAGAACCTAGATATGGGCAATCTATGGATATACCTGCTACCTCACACTGAGTTAGAGGTTACACAGTTGTATCTGCCACCTAGCTGAGGGGAGAAAAAGAAGCCCGAGCTGTCCTATACATACCTAGGAAACAACCACCACCCAGGTATGGGCTACTGTGAAACTGAGACTTGAGTGAACTGCACTCCCAAAAGCTTATTGCCCACATCACTCACCTGAAAGGGGCCCACCTTCTTTGATTACAGACCTACAGTGAGTACTATTTTGAGAGTTTAACAGTGGGCTGAGCCCCATTCTTGCCTAAAGTTCAAGGTTAGATGGCCATAAGGGACAGGGGAGAAACAGCACTCTTAAACACACTTAGGACAATACCCACTAACCTGATATAGGCACCTGTGGGCCCGGGGGGACTGGCACATCCAACCCATTGGTGCCACCAGCAACACCAACACAGACCACTTGGGTCCTAGCAGGTGGCTCCACCACTGTTACTGCTACCACCCACATCACACCAGCTGCACAGGGGCCTAAGAACCTCCCCACACATGAGCAGCCTTATGCCCCCACTATTAGCTTTTGAGCAACCCAACTGGAGGCCCAAGAATTAGCTCTCCAAGACCTACTAACACTCCTGCCAGTGTAAGCTGCTCGAGAGGCTAAAAAGAGGCCTGCCCAGGCCACTGGGGCCCCAAAACCTCCTCAGCTAGTGTTTAAGAGTGCCCCTCAAAATTTCACAACAGCCTCAACTTTGGCAATACACAGGTAACAATAATCCTGAGTATTGCCAAAGAGATCATACAAATATCACGCTACCACAGGCATCAACAACTAAAGCCAATGTGTCTTAATCAGCTAATACTATATACACACCTGCAGGAAAATATTCTCCCCTATGAAAGGAATTTCCAAAAAATGGAACAAGTACTTATTATACCAGATGCACAGATGGTAATGTATGGACATAGGAGACATGGAAAAGCAAGAAAATAAATGTGATACCATCGAAGGACCATAATAATCGTCCAGCAATGGATCCCAACCAAAAAGAATTCCTAAAAATACCAGATAAAGAATTCAAAATATTGGTTTTTAAAGAAGCTCAATGAAACACAAAGGAAATCAATTCATGATACGAATGATAAATTTACAGAAAAAAAAAATTCTAGAGCTGAGCAATTCACAGAAGGAAACACTAAATACATTTGAAAGCTTCAAATAGACTGGACCAAGCAGAGGAAAAAATATCTCAGAACTTGAAAACAGGTCTTTTGAAAAAATCCAGTCAGACAAAAATAAAAAAAAATATTTAAAAATAATGAGCAAAGCCTTTGAGATGTCGGAGACTATGAGAGTGACCAAAATCATAAGTAGTCATATTCCCAAGGGGGAAGAAATAAAAAAGTATACTCTACACAATCCTATTTAAATGAAGCTTAAAAACAGGAATAATTTTTCTATGGCAGCCAAAGTCACACTAGTGGTTATAGGGGTGGAAGTGGGGTACTGACCTACACAGAGAGGACCTTCTGGGGCATAAATACATTCTATATTTGAATACAAGTTGTTGCTATCTACAAAGTCTCAGGTTATATAATTAACAACGAGGTTGGACCATGAAGTTAAAAAGTGCTACCATATCACTATGGTCACCTGATGGCCAAGGGGAGTACTTTGAAGGTGACCATGGTGATATTCAGATGCTGAAGGGGGTACTTTAAAGGTGACCATAGTGATATTCAGCAATGAGATATGTAGCACTTTTTCTAGGATGAGTTAACTTAATTGTCTGACCTCATATAATAATCAATAGCATTTCTACATGCCAATAATAACCAAGCTGACATCCAAAAGAAAAATCAATACCATTTTAAATAGCTGCCAAAAAAAAAAAAAAAAACCGCACAGGTGACACAAACAAATGTAAAAACATCCTGTGTTCATGAATTTGAATGACCATACTAGCCAAAGCAATCTACAAAGTCAATGTAATTCCTATCAAAATACAAATGTCATCTGCATTATATCTTCAAAAAATAAACAACTGATAACTTATTCATCTCTTGTATTCATTGTCCCTGTATATTTATCCTTTTTTTTCTTTAAAATCATTTTATTGCACTTTGAAAAGTGTTGTACAGATTTCTCTTTCCCTTCCTAATATCTAGTCTCCCTACTTTCTCTTACCAAGAGAATCTCAGTCTTACTGAGGAGGAAAAATATGCTACTTTAAAAACGCATTCATCACACATTCTTGAAGTGGGGACGAAATGCAAGTGGAAGTCACTGGGTGAAGTTTTCTGAGGAAACTCTTGAAGATGATACACATGGGACTCCCTTGACTTTTCCCTTTTTCCTACATAGAATGCAGACATGACAATGAAAGTTAGACAACCATTTTATCATATAGACATAAGTTTATGAGCTCATGATGAGATAGGTTAATAGAGTAGAAAGGTAAAAGGATTCAGGTTCCTGATGACATCATGGAGTCCCCATCCATCCCAGCGCAATCAGAAAGTAAAAGTTAGTTTAGATTGAGAAAGTAAAAAATCATCAGGCTGGAATAACAGGCTCTAATAAAGCCAGCTATAAAATTAATAAGAAACAATATTTCTCCCAAGGACACTCCATAGCTATAAAATGTTTTAACAATCCCCTTCTTTGAGTGACTACTATTTTCTTAACCACTGAGAAACTTTATTCTCTAAAATCATAAACTATTAGACACTTTACTATTTGGAATTAGATCAGTAAGAATGAAACACTCCACTCTTGCCTACAGGATCAGTCACTTTGATGGAGAAGTGGCCTCAATTTATAACCAAGATGCTGAGGTGCAGAGAAGGAACAACATTCTACAACTCTGAACTTTGTTCCAAACGAACATGACCCTGGTCCACTTTGAAGTTTAGAAATGATGTTGACCTGTTTACTTACAGCCTTGTTTTGCATTGAGAATAACAAGACAATGTTTCACTTCAATTCACCTAAACTTCACTCTTCCCCACAGTTCTATACTGGCTCCATCTTTTCCTTTATTTGATGAAAACTAATTTGGACTGAAAGTAAAATTTCACCAGGCTGGAATAACTGGCAGTCAGAAAGGTGGCTATTAAGTCAGCCCTAGTGTGCAGTCTTCTCTTTAGGACAATGAGTTAATAGACTTGACTTTTTTGCACTGTAAGTTTGAGCTGATTAGGCTAAAACAACAGACTAACTCTAGATTTCTTGTCATTTGAAAACCAATAACTGGTGGGGTTTTTTTTCTTTATACATATACATTGTTTATTTGGTTTCCACTTTTTGCCTTCACAAAATTAAAAAGGCTTAAAATTTAATAACAATGTTTAAGATAAGGACTAGAAACAAAAAGCTCGTAAAGAACGAATGAAGCTAAATGCATTCAGAAAAGAAATCAGATGATTGCTGCAATGAAATATTGACCAATAATAATAATGCAAAAAAAGTAACATTCACATTTGTCAGATAAAAGTATGTCTATCACAGAATGCTTTGACTCTGAGATTCAGTATGGAGTCATCAGTTAACTTCTTCTTTTTTTCGTTTTTCCAAAGTCTCAAAAAATAGACAACTCATATTTATAAATGAAAATAGAAGATAATTTCAAAAAAACAGATTATACCAAATCTTATAGACAATAAAACAAGAAGAAATACTTCAAAATCATTCTACTTCATCTCAATATACCTGATATAAAAATTGGAAAAAATGTATTATTATAAAAGGAAATTACAAACATATCTCACTTATAAATGAGGACGCACTATCCCAAACAACATATTAACAAGTTGAATTAAAAATTAATGTTCAAATAATATGTCATTTAAATCACTGCCTTCGGGTCATTTTTGCTCGCAGCAAATGATGCTAGGAAGTAGATCCAATTATGGTCTGTGAGAGATCACATAGGTTGAAAGTATAAGGATGAAAAAAGACCATGCAAACAATAAAATAAGAGAGGTGGAGCATCCATACTCATATCGAAGAGAATAGACTTTACTGTCCTACTTGGTTTCGATTGTCTGGAAAGGGACCTAAGTGATAACTACTATAAGAAAGGTCAATGCCATGGACAGAAGTGTTGGAAAGGCCAATAATGGCCAAAGGCAACAGGCAAAGTACCTGGGTTTCCCTAAGACAAAGGGAAGAAGCGGGACAGTTTAGGATTCTGGCTCCTCCCTGTATGAGTTGAGCGTGGGGAGGGATGTTGGACATAAAGACTACTTAATACTAGCAATGAAATGGAACCCACACCTAGGTCACTTCTTTCTCAAGCTATGGTGCCTTAGAGAACAGACATGCCAGGAGAATTGATATATATAAAGCTATAACTCTCAATTCTAAATATAAATAATAATCATAAAACCCCAAAAACATTTAAAAATAAAAACATGTTATAAAATATCTATCTATCTATAGATAGATAGATATTTATAATTTTTAGTCATCCACAAGAAAAGTTACCTTACCGCTCTTAATCTTTGAGCATGGTATTCGTCCGCTGAGAAATATATTCCTGGTTCTACCAGTTTATCAGTCATATTAGACACATACACACCAATTTTAGTCATCTGTGTAGATGTTGTATTTGTAGTTTGCTGTAATTTTTTTCTCTGAAAAACTGTCTAAAAGAATTGAAAATTTGAAATAAGTATCCACCACATGCATATATGAGTGAAAATATTTTTCTACATATTTAGTTTTCTTTTAATGCATATGTAATTACTAAACTTTTTTTAAAATTTGAGAGTCATACAGTATAACTATTATTGATTCAATAGCTTCAAAAATCTAAATGGAAAATTTTAAATATTACCTGTGTATCCCTACAAAATAAACCAAGTCTTTCAGGAATCTTTTTAGGTACAGTTTGGGTTCCAGCATTGTGATATTCTATTCCTGTTAGTTTATGCTTGAATCCACCAAGAAATGGTTTATGAAAGTCACATTTTAAAATTTCAACAGGTACCTCTTGGTATTGATCAATTCCTAAAAAAATAAATAAAACCCAAGATTGAATGAAAGTTCAACTACAAAGGGACTCAAAAATACTTCATCTAAAAGGCCTCAAATAACCAACCAGTTTGTACGGTGACACTTATGATTTGAGAGACATCATATAATCTTTGTATCCTTTTAATTGGATATTTATTTGGATATACGGAAGAAATTTCCAGTTGTACAACTTCCTGTGGATTAACTCCATGTTGTAGTAGAGTGTCAGTATTTTTAAGAATTATTCCTAAAATACAAAATTAAATTTTAAGTTTTATAACAAAGAAATGACTATTCATTGATGTTCTTTTTTAGTTTTTAATGGATAAATACCGTATATATCTCTGATGTACAGCATAAGGTTTTGATATACGTACACATTGTGAAATGGCTAAATAGAACTAATTAACATACACATTATCTCCCATATTTACCATTTTTGTGGCAAGAACACTAAAATAATCTACCCTTGTATTAATTTTCAAGTCTAAAATATATTAACTATGGACACCATGATGCTTATATATTTTAGATTTCTAAAAATGGCTGATTATTTGTGCTCATTTTAAGGAGGTAGAAAACATCAAAGATACTTACAGAAACACTTAGCATTTAATTACTAAATACAGTATTAATTGTTTCCACTTCTTGCTATAATGTTAGTACAGAAAACTCTATAATAGAGTCCTAATATTGCCATTCTCGAGCAAGCATTCAGAATTATAAAGCTATAACTCTCAAATATAAATATGAATATATAATAATCATAAATATTTAAAAATAAAACATGCTATAGTATGAGCAAAATCATATTCTAAATATTGACTCTTTATAAAACCACAATGTGTTATAGGTAAATAAAAAAACATATCTGTATCCAGGAAAGGACAGTTATTTTAATGCCCATTCCACTCTGTCCCCAATGCAGAAAAGCATATCTGCAGAATTCCAAAGAATCTCTTCCTTTTTCTCTTTTCATAATCAGAAACTCATATAAATCAATTCATGCCAAGAGGAAAGTAAACCTCAGCCTTGAGTACATTTCATTTTTATATTGCTATTGTTTCAACTTCTATTCCCTGTTCACACCTCCACTTTACCATTTATTCAATGAGTCGATTAATTTTCTTTATCTATTATGAGTATACAAAAAGTTAATAATGTTATTGACTGCTATTTTGTGTCATGGAAATCTTATTGATGGACTCTATATCAACCTTTGAAAGTTTCTTCCAAAGTTATAAATTGGAATCAGAACAGGGCAAAACTATACTCATTCTTAGAAATAGATCTAACCCCACTATAGATCATGTCTGACTTATCAATAGCTTGACTTATAATTTTCTAACCTGATGATGGTACACAAGTGATACACAGTCAGCACAAACCACACTTTGAGTACCTATATAATCATTCTGTTTTTTACTTCTAATGCAGTATGCAATAAATTATATGAGATACTCAAAGCTTTATTATAAAATGGTCTTTGTAGTAGATGATTTTGCCCAACTGTAGGCTAAGGTTAAGTGTTCTGAGCCCATCTAAGGTAGGCTACACTACGCTACAATGTTCTGTAAGTTAGATGTATTAAATGCATTTTTCCTTATGACATTTTGAATTCATGATGGGTTTACTGGGATGTAACACAGTCATAAGTGAGGGACCATCTGTAGTCTATTTTAGCTATGTTCAGGAAAGCACATTCTAAGATCTTTGTGTTTCAATTTTATATCCTAAATTCTTTAATTTAAAAAATTAATATCAATGTCATATCAGCTTCGTGATATGTTGAATAATGACCCCCAAAATGCTTACATCTTAACCTCTAGGACCTATAACGGCAAAAGTGATTTCGCAGATTGGATTAAGAATTTTGAGATGGAAAGAGTATCCTGGGTTCTTGGTCAGGCCCTGAATGTAATCACAGGTGTCCTTATCAAAATTAGGAAGGAGATTTGAGAGGAGAAGGCAATATGACAGAAGCAAAGACAGGGGGCTTTGAAAATGGAAGGACTCAATAAGCCAATGAACACACTGAACGCAACTGTAGAAGCTAGAAGGGCGAGGAAGCAGAATCTCTCCTGCAGCCTCCACAGGGTTACTGGCTCTGCCAGCACCTCGACTTTATCCCGATGAAACTGATTTAGGATTTCTGGCCTCCAGAACTATTGCGACCACAGCCATCTAAAACGAGTACTGATTTCCCGGAACCCTTCTGTTCCTCTACTTATGTATGTAGTGGGCTTAGTCCCACCCAACTTGAGCACCAGTTCTAGTACTTGCTAAAAGCACCTATCTTAGAAGATGGAGGGCATAAAATCAAGGTCTTTTATAATTGCTGCTGACATAAACCACTACCCAGTGGTGATGCCTGGCACTTCCACATAAAGAAGAAAGGTCATGAAAAGAAAGAATAGAAAGAACCTTAAGTACCACTGGCCAGATACTCCAACCTCAAAGTCTTTCACGTCTCCAATTTTGAACTCTGCCTTTAGTTAATGTCCAGCAGTTTCAGATTCCATCTTTACAAATCATCATCATTATCATTATTAATACTAACAATTATTTAAATTTTAGCTTTGTTTGCCCAATCTAGCATTATTAACCAGTTATTTGAATATGAACATTTTACTTTTAGAGGAAATTCACTATAAGAGAATTTTTAAATAATTTTAAAATTGAATTGGTTTTTCTCTAGAAACTTTTTGTGGCATGCACATAAGTCAATACCAAAACTTTTAAAGCTAAAATATCAGGATCTGGTCAGATATATTCTATAGAAACATACATTTAGCCATGTTAGTCAGATAAATTCTTCCGGTTACAAAGACTATGTCCTCTCATGACACAAAGGTAATACAAATTCAGTAGGCTGCTCAATATCATTCATAAAATATAAATAAACCTGATATCCTGAGAAAGTAAGTTGACCTTAATGTATAAAACCTGTATAAACCATTTTCAGTCTTCTTCTACACATTCTCCTTTATCATCTACTTTTCCATTTTATCTCCTTCCACTGCCCATGTATAATCTACTTACAGCCACTCAAAACTCCTTACCACTTCCCCAAAGTTCCAGATTTTCTCATATTTTCATTTTTATTAAATGAAACTTTCTAGACTTTCCCAGGGAGGTCCCTTTCTCCCTGTTCTCTTAGCTTTTTGTGCATATTTTCAGTAAAGCATTTACACACTCTGTGGTCACTATTAGATGCATCTCCTTCCTTACTAGTCCATAAGCAACTTGAGACACGAATCTTGTTTTGTGTTTCTCTGTATCTTCATTACTTAGCACAGTATCTAGAGCAAAGTATGTCCTCAATAAAAAAGCGTTGAATTAATGGATGCATTAGCACAATATAATGTTCACATAGTAAATAGCAAGATATTTAACAAGTCAAAACTCTTCATTGTTTATATGTTAAAATTAGAGAAGTCTTGATGACTTTTACCAGCCTCCAAACGTACCTGCATGGGTTACCTGCAGTACATAATATGGAACACCTAATAGGAGTGAAAAATGATCCTTGAGGTTTTTGATAATGCTGTCAACTTTAAAAGGCATTGTAATCTCCTGACCCACTGGAACAAGTACAACTTTTACTGTAGATGAAAAGAGAAAGGAAAAAAAAGATAGTTAAATATAGCAAGGATCAATAAACTATAGCACACAGATACACAATGTGTCCATCCCTAACCAAATGGAGGGCAGGCTGATTTTGTCATGTTGCCTCCCACACCTCACTGATAAGGGTTACTTCTAAGTTTCTATAAGAGAAGTGATCAACATTCATTTGCAACTTTTGCTTCGTAAATTAATCCATAATCTCGAGAATTAGCATCAATGTTCAATACTTTATATTTTATTCAGTTATAAGCATAGGAAACATCTCAGAAAATCAGGGAGGCATTTTCATAGAGTGAATGTAGAAATAGGAGACTTTGAGATAGAGAAGGTGTCCCAGAACTTAGAAATGCACTACATCTTCTTTACACGAGAATGGACATTATTTAACTCACTCCCTGTGTTACCAAATAGGAAATCAAAACGCTCAAATGCTTACATGTTAAAAATAAAAATTGTTAATCCATTCGTGGGTTGATAGGCATTTGGGTTGCTTCCACAACTTGGCAATTATGAATTGGGCTGCACTAAACATTCTGGTGCAAATGTCTTTGTGGTACAATGATTTTTGTTCTTATTGGTAGATACCTAGTAATGGAATGGTGAGATCAAAGTAAAGGTCAACTTTTAGTTCCTTGAGGATGCCCCAAGGCATTAGTTCCATTTAGTTCCACCAAATGCCCATCAACCCATGAATGGATTAACAAATTGTGGTACATGTGTACCATGGAATACTATTCAGCCATAACAAGATGGAGACTTTACATCTTTTATTACCTGGATAGAGCTGGAACACATTCTTCTTAGCAAAATATGTCACGAATAGGGGGGAAAGGATCTAATATACTCAGTACCGTTAAGAAACCAATATATAAACACACACTCATGATGAAACACAAAATAGTCTAGTATGGGGGAGGGGAGACAAGGAAGAAAGGAAGTGAGGGGGTACGGGGGAGGGGAGACAAGGAAGAAAGGAAGTGAGGGGGGACGGAAATTGGTGGGAGAAGGAAGAACATGTCATGGGATTTTGCCTGATGCACACCATGCAAAGGTATATTTCAAATAACTAAGATTAAATTTTAAATGTCTTACCATAAAAAAAAAAATCAGTGCCCCATGAGACTAAGGGTTAGCAGGTACAATGTGCTCAGAGGTTAAATTATTTGAAAAGACTAACATTTTATTCCCCTTCAACTCATGTCATAAGGACTAGAAGTTGCTTTTGATGGTACACACATACAATATGAAGATGAAAATACTACATACTTTGGGAACAATTTTTAAAAACTATATTATAAAATTATTATCTGTTCACAAATTATAGGAAGAGAAATAAAGTATTTTAAAACTAAATAATATAAAGTAATTATTTTTCTTTTAGATCTATAGACTTTAAATTTTTAATGAAAAAGGTACAATAAGTAATATGGAATATAGAATGTACACTGAAGGCCAAAAAGTTTTGTTTATTTCTAGATGGATAACATAACAGTTTCTTTACTGCTAAACAAAACATTTGTTCTGTAACAAAATTTTACTAGACATTGGTGATGCTGAGATTCTTCAAGCTTGTTAAAACTTGTTTTCACAATTCTCTATCAACAAAGAGAACAGTTTCACAGATGTTAAATTATCAAAAAGTGATTTTAATTGTTTTATGAGTATAAAAAGTGACAATCAATATATTTTAAAACTTTTATACAGTGACTTCTTAAGATTTGGGAAGGGAGGTGTGTTAAGGGACTGAAACTCAAACTGCACAGTACCAAGGCAACTGTTTTTTAAATCACCATGTGTTTGATACGTTACAATATCAGAGAATGACAGAAATATCCAAAAATGAAACCCAAATTTACAATGAATAATAAAATTGGGAGACACCCACTTCAGTTAGGTATAATTTGGCTTAATTAGTTTTCTATCCTTCCTCCTTTTCATTATTGCTTGGACATATCACATGCGGGTAAACTCCACTGCATTCAAAAACTACGTTTGATCAGCCAATCTAAGCTGCTGTTATTATTGTTAAACCATGGGCCATGCTCTCAAAAATCATGGACAAGGAGGAAAAAGAGCAGTCAGTTAATGGTACAAGTAGGATAGTTCTCAGTGTAACCACCGTATTGCTTCTCTCCCTTTGCTGTTACTAAGAATGTAGTAATAACTGCTACAAGCCATCAACATTGTTTTTATGTCTTTCGAATTAACCTACAATAAAAAACAACAAGTATTTTTCTGAAGCTAAACATAAGAGATGATTTTTTTGAAGCTAAATATAAGATTAACTGCAGACTACAGAAATACATAATAGCAACATGATATATGGAATGAGCACTAGATATAAAACTAGGAAATCTGAACTATGTATAACAATTAATTTCAAATGGCCAGTCAAAAAAAAAATTGCAAAGTTCCCTAAATATTTTTAAAACAAATAAAGTATTTGAAAATAAAATATTTGAAAACAACATAAATATTAACTAAAAATTTGCTGATGCATGTTTATTGAGGAAGAATAGGTACTATAGGTTAGAGAAGCTTTCACATGTAGTTAAGAGATTTCAAATTACATAACTACAAAAATTCAGTGGATAAGGGACAGGGAAAGTAATACCAAATATATAACAAATCTTCAAGCAAAAAATAAACAAACAAGAAAGAGCAACAACTTGTTGAAATGAGGAAATGAAATATCCTATCTTCCCTAGGTGATACCTGCTGCTGAAGAATCTTGTATAGATTTTTGCAAAGATGACCTTATAGCTTTTATTTTATCCAGAAATGCCAGGTTATCATAATCTGGACTTAGTGTTGAGTAGTGCTCTTGTCTTTGTGTAGGTGGAATCCCCATGAGGGGCATATCCTTTCCCATGAGTTCTTCATAGATTGAATCCAGGCTTGAAGAGCTCCGCTCACTCTCCTCCTCAATAGGTATTTTATAGTTGTCACTGTATTCTTCTAACTCATACTCATACTCTTCAGCTTGCTCTAACTCTTGAGGCTCTTCTGGAGGAACTGGAATATTGACAGTGTTAGAAGCATCATCATTTTTTTCTGTTGACTCAACTTTATCCTCAGCATCAAACTGTTCCTCCTGATCAGACATTTTCCTGAATTAAGAAAAATAAACACATTTACTACATAGATAAGTTTGTACACCAAATATCAAATTCAATGCTAGTGTAATATTGCTTACTATTTTTAATGTTAATTATATTACTAATGTCATCATGTAGAAAATTTTTTGTAGAGACAGTCTCACTTTATCACCCTCGGTAGAGTGCCGTGACATCACACAACTCCTGGGCTTAGGCGATTCTCTTACCTCAGTCTCCTGAGTAAGCTGGAAAATACAGCCACCCACCACAAAGCCCAGCTATTTTTTTGTTGCAGTTTGGCTGGGGCCGGGTTTGAACCCACCATCCTCAGTATATGGGGCTAGTGCCCTACACACTGAGCCACAGGTACCACCCAAAATATTGGTAATTTTTTTAAAATAAAATACTATGGAAAGTAAAAAATTACTAACAAAAAGGGAACTCCAAAACAATAAATTTGAAAGTAACATTCTCTGAAGAATATATGAAAAATTCTTTAAAATATCTTGTCATCTTTTCCCAATTCAATGAAGAATGTCTTGTCAAAGAAGGATTTTTTGAATTACTTTTTTTCTGATACAAAACTGACATAGATTTATGCTTCTGGTATTACAAAAGACTAGAAACTCTAAGGAACCAGCCAGCTTCACAGCAACTGTACCCTAACAGAAAACACTCTTTGGGCAGTACCTGTGGTTCAAAGGAGTAGGGCGCTGGCCTGAACCCACCACTAACCAAAAACTAATAGCAGAGGTCTTTAATGAACTCTATTCCCCCCCCCCAAATAAACATATTAACAACAAATAGGGGTTACTATGGAGCTAAGTACAGTCACACCTACAGCAACCAAGTGCTTGGGCTTGGAAAACAGGATAGCAGCACCTAGAAGCTTGGGTCAGGGTAGTCCAGGGTATTCAAGAGCCAGGCTGTAAAGGCAGGAGTTGGATCAAAACGGTAAGGACCCAATATAGGAAGGAGTCTGTCTACCTATAGAAGCTGGAAGCCAGAAAGGGAGAATAAGAGAGATCATCCCAAGGTGAGATTTCTATGACAATAGCAGGGACAAGATTGGAATAGTTGTCAGGTGGCAAAGCTCTTTTGGGGGCTTCTTCTCTGAGCAAAAATCCTTATGGAAGAAAAAAAATCACCCATTGTCAGTGGAGTTTTTTGGCTATTAGGTGACAAATTTTTAAAAATGGAAACATCAGAAATAAAAATATACAAAATGGTTAAACTCAATAAATAAGCTGTATAGGACTAGAGAGAGTTGAAGAGAGAATTAATGAACTGAAGGACAAATAAAATTGTAAGTAGAAGTATGCAAAGACAGGAGGATATGAAAAATATGAGCAACAAAGAGCCAGAAAGAAAAGAAAAAGAAAGCCTACTATGTTTTTGCTACGCATATATTCTGTTGTGAGTGAAGAATGGCTTTGTACTATGAAAACAAAAAATATACAAATGGAGCTATATGTGGCCTATGCAGCCTAAAAGAAAAGGCCCCTGAATCCCTTTTCACAAAAAATTTGCTAGCCCCTGCTCTAACATATGTCAAAATGGAGTCCCAGAAGGAAATAATAAAAAGATGGAAGAGAAGAAACTAATAAAAAGATATAGATCCTTAGGTCCATGAAGCAAAACACAAATATATACATAACAGAGTAAATAAAAATAATTCCTAACCATATTCATTATAATAAAATTACAGAATATCAAAGACAAAGAGAAGATCTTGAATGTAAAGTGTCATGTTGATACCAGAATTTCGCTCTTCAGTGGGTCGTTGGTCTTGGGGATTCAAAGAATGAACCCATGGACCACAGATCAGTGGTAAGATAGGCCTTTTATTAGAAGTTAGAAAGGAATACAAAAGAAGTAGAAAGCACCAAGCTTCTACTGAAGAACTGAAGACCTCACAGCGGAGTATCCACGTGGGCTCTTTTATCTAGGGGTCTTAAGTCTAGAGGACTACACATGGCTGGCAGTTGGTAGATGGAAAAACATCTTTTCAAAGTTAATGAGGGCATTAACAAATGAATGAATGTAGTTCCTCCTTCACTAGGGAGACGTTATCAGGTCCTTTATAAACTTTGTCCATGAGAAGGGATTAGAGTGTGTGCCCCTCCTACCCAAGGTGGAACCACCCAAAAAACCATCACAGGCTGCTTTATTCATGATCTTATCAGAGATCAGAGGGTGTGTCTGGAAAAAGGCAGTCTGCTTGTGCCTAGAAATGGCACTCTGACCTCTGAGCTCACCTGGGCCTAGAGAATGGGAGGCTCCTTGTCTATCCCTGAGTGGTGGAATACTGTATCAATATCATCTACTGTTTTGAGTCATATTAATTTGATGACACTAATACAAACGAAAAAAAATAAAATGACCGTAAATTTTTAATCAGAAAAATAAAGACTGAAGCAACAATAGGCTAATTGAAAGAAGATAACTATCAACCTAGAATAGTATACCCCGCAAAATTACCTTTTAAGAAAGAAAACAGAAGTATTTACAAATAAATTACCAAATTACCACCAAGATTTCTTCTCTAAAGAAATTTTTAAAGGCTACACATGAAGAAGGAAGAAGATCCTAAGAGAAGTCTCATGTGCAAAAAAGAAAGGTGAACACACAACCTCATAAACATATGAATAAATCCAAACAATATTGTCAATACAAAAATAATAGAAAATTGAAATATTAGACAATAATATGTAATTGAGAAGGAAAAGACCAGACTAAACTATTAATAAAATTAGGGAATATATTAAGTTAAATATGCCTACTTAAATCTCGAGTATGAACAATAAAAAAAATAAAGTTTGAAAATTCCAGAACAATAAAGAAAGAAAAAAGGTGGAATGAGAATTAAATAATAATTCAATTTTTAAAAATATTTATCTTTTTATTTCAAATTAATATGAGGGTACAAATTTGTAAGTTATATTGTTCTCACTTCTGAGGTAAAGTTCAAGTTGTAGAAGAACACTTCACCCAGGAAGCATGGTGAATACCCTCACATTGTACACATTAGGTGAAATCTCACCAATTGCCCTTCCGCCTCGCACCAAGCACCCTCCTTCCTCCATACTTTCTTCTCCCTCCTCTCTGCCCCCTTGCTAGACTACATTTGCGTTTTATCATTTATGTGTGTGCATAATTGCTTATATATTGGTTTTGTATTAGTATTGAGTACAGTGGATTTTTTTTTCCATTCTTGAGATATTTTACTAAAAAAAATGTTTCAGCTCTCTCCAGGTAAACATAAAAGATGTAAGGTCTCTTGTATTATGGCTGAATAGTATTCCAGGGCATACGTGTCCCTCAGTTTGTTAATCCATTCATGGGTTGATGTGCATTTGGGTTGCTTTCACAACTTGGCAATTATGAGTTGGGCTTCATTCACATTCCCGCGCAAATGTGTTTGCGGTACAGTGATTTTTGTTCTTCTGAGTAAATACCTAGTAATAGAATTACAGGATCAAATGGAAAGTTGACTTTTAGTTCTTTAAAGATTTTCCATATTTCTTTCCATAAAGGTTATATTAGTTTGCAATCCCACAAGCATAGAAGTTTTCCTTTCACTCCACAATCCATGACAGAATCTGCAGTTTAGGGACTTTGTGATGTGGACTAATCTTACTGGAGTTAGCTTATATCTAAGAGTGGTTTTGATTTGCATTTCTCTGATGATTAAAGACAATGAGGATTTTTACATGTGTTTGTTGGCCATTTATCTATCGTTTCAGAGAAGTTTCCAAGTCTTTAGCTATCTTGTAAATGGGGTTGTTTGCTCTTTTCTTGTTGATTAATTTGAGTTCTCTATAGATTCTAGTTATTAGGCCTTTCTCAAATTTGTAACATGCAAAAATCTTCTCCCATTCCAAAGGCTGTTTGTTTGGTATGGTTGTTGTACCCTTAGCAGTACAGAAGCTTTTTATCTTGATTAAATCCCATGTATTTATTTTTGGAGCTACTGCAATTGCCAGGGGTGGGAGGTGGGGGGTGGGTCTTCCTCATAAAGTATTTTCCCAGGCCAATGTTTTTAAGCACTTTCCCCAAATTTATTCCAGAATATTTATTGTTTTGTGTCCTAAATATAAAATCTTTTATCCAGCAAGAATCAATGTTTTTCAAAGGTGAGAGGTGTGGGTCCAGTTTCAGACTTCTACATGTAGCTAACCTGTTGTCCCAGAACCATTTATTAAATAGGAAATCTTTTTCTCAATGCATGTTTTTGTTAGGTTTATCAAAAATCAAATGGTGATATGCAGCTGGGTTTATCTCTAGATTATCTATTCTATTCCATAGATCTGTCTCTGGTTTTGTGCCAATACCATGCTGTTTTGATCACTACAGACTTTTAGCATAACCTGAAGACTGGTAATGTGATGCCTCCAGATTTGTTTTTATTTCTTAGGATTTCATTGACTATTAGGACTTTTCTCTGGTTCCATATAAAAATGAAGTATTTTTTCAATTTTGTCAAAGCATGACATTGTTGCTTTGATGGGGATTTCACTAAATCTGTATATTTCTTCCCAGCCATCAGTATGGTGTATTCTTCTATTTGCTACGTCTTCAGCTATTTCTTTTCTCAGAGTTTTATAGTTTATAGAGATCTTTCATGTGCTTTGTTAGATATATTCACAGGTATTTCATTTTCTTTGGAGCAGTGTAAAGGGCGTAATCTTTGATTTTATTCTCATCTTGACTGTTCTAGCATATATGAAGGTGACTGATTTGTGGGCATTGATTTTGTATACCAAAGCCCTACTATATTCCTTGATCACATCTAAGAGCTTTGTAGTTGATTCCCTTGGGTTTTCCAGGTATAAGATCATGTCATCCACAAAGAGCAAGAGTTTGACCTCCTCTGTCCCCATCTGAATACCTTTGATGTCCTTCTCTTGCTTGATTGAAATGACTAGGACTTACAACACTATGCTGAATAGCAGTGGTGACAGTGGGCATCCTTGTCTAGCTCCAGATCTGAGCAGAAATTCTTTCA